GCAGTATTGGACTCTGGCTCTCAAATCAATCTCATAACAAACCGCCTGTCACAAAAATTGGGCTGCAAGCCTAGGCCAACGCTTATGAGTATGGAAGGCGTAGGAGCAAATGAATCAAAAATACGTCATCAAACAATAATTCGAGTACAATCAACGTTGAACGAATTTGTAGCAGAGATGGATGCACATATCATACCAAAAATCGTTTCAGATCAGCCAATGCAGTATTTGAATATCGAATCCTGGGATATTCCAAAGGAATTAACTCTCGCTGATCCAGATTTTAACAAACCTGGCCGAATAGATTGCCTGTTAGGAGCAGAGATCTTTTTCAAGTTACTTATTGAAGGTCAAATAAAACTAGCAGTTAGTCTTCCAACACTTCAGAATTCTATTTTTGGATGGGTTGTAGCTGGCAATGTTGAAACTTTAAATTCAAGCACGGCAACTTGTGGCATATGCACTACTAAGGAACTAGAAGAATCTATATTGAAATTCTGGGAATCAGAAGAAATTCCAGATTCAACTTCGGAACTCACAGAAGACGAATTGCGTTGTGAGTCACATTTTTTGCAACACACTTTTCGAGGAAGTGATGGCAGATTTGTTGTAAAACTCCCACTAAAGAATCATCCATCAGTGTTACCAGATACAAAAGGAATCGCTTACGAGAGGTTCAAGACAATCGAGCGCCGTTTCATTCAAAATCCTGATCTAAAGAATCAATATGTTTCATTTATGAGGGAATATGAAGCATTGGGACACATGACAAAATTCAGCGGTAGCGAAATAATATCTCCCCAATATTTCATCCCTCACCACTGTGTGCTACGTCCAGACAGCTCAACATCAAAACTGCGAGTTGTATTTGACGCATCAGTACACAAATTATCAGAGCCATCACTAAATGACATAATGTTTAATGGTCCAAAAGTTCAAGACGAACTGTTTTCGATTTTGCTCAGATTTAGAATGCACAAATATGTTTTAAAAACTGATGTGGAAAAAATGTACCGTCAAATATGGGTTAACAAAGATGATCGAAATCTGCAACTCATAATGTGGCGAGAAAATCCCACAGAACCACTTAATTATTATCAGTTGAACACAGTTACTTATGGCACAAGAGCAGCACCATATTTAGCAACACGCTGTCTAACAAAATTGGCGGATGAATATCAAGGAAATTATTTATATGGCGCCACATCTTTAAAAAGGGATTTTTATGTTGACGACGGTCTAATAGGAGCTGATACCATCAACGAAGCGTTACTAATTCAACAACAATTAATAACAATTCTAGACAAGGCTGGAATGAAACTAAAAAAATGGTGTGCAAACAACCCAAAACTTTTACATGGAATCGCTACAGAAGATCAAGAAGTAAATCTCAATTTTGATTCCAAGGAAACCCAATTCACAAAGACGCTGGGTCTTTTATGGTTACCAAAGTCAGATTCATTTCGTATCAAGGTTAACATTCGAGACCATAGTCACACAACAAAACGATCTATGAGCTCCGATTTGGCACACATATATGACCCTTTGGGTCTTATTGGTCCAATCTTGGTCACCGGTAAAATCTTGTTGCAAGGAGCATGGCAGCTAAAACTCGATTGGGATGATGATCTTCCGTCAGAAATACGTAAACAATGGACATCGTATAGAGAAGATCTGGCCTTGTTGGACAATGCAACAGTTGTGAGGCACGTATTCAGCAGTCAAGGCTACAGCCATGTTGAGCTGCACGCTTTTTGTGACGCCTCAGAAAAGGCTTATGGTGCAGCAGTATACATTAGAACAGTACAAAAGGATAAAACGATAAAACTTAATCTACTATGCTCCAGATCTCGTGTAGCACCCATAAAATCTCAAACAATTCCACGACTAGAATTGTGTGCAGCGTTGCTAGCAGCAGAACTCATGGCAAGAGTTAAACTTGATTTAGGCTATCAAGACAAAGCAACTTACTTTTGGACAGATTCACAAATTGTGCTTTCCTGGATAAACAATCATCCAGGCAAATTACCCGTTTACGTCGCCCACCGAATTGTAAAAATCCTTCGGTTAACAATTCCAGAACAATGGCGTCACGTCCCGTCAAAACAAAATCCGGCAGATATTCTGTCAAGAGGGCTTAAACCGCGGGAATTTTCATCTTGCTACATGTGGTTATATGGTCCACTATTTTTATATCAGCCAAAGCCGCTGTGGCCAGCTCCCTTCAAAAGGGAATTAATTGTTGAAGATAACACGGTGGTGCTTGCTTTATCAACACAACAACCTACTAATGAGCATGCATGGGTCTACTCGATTCATTCAAGAAATTTATTTACACATGTCCAAAAGGTTGTTGGATATGTACTTCGTTTCACAAAAAACGCACGGAAACCAAAAGAATCAAGACCAGAGACCATGCAGCTTTCACCGATGGAGCTCGACGTAGCACTTAAGATAATAATACGTCAAATCCAGGCCTCCGATTTTTCTGATCTAAGGAAAATGCTAGTTAAGGACGAATTTGTGCCAAAAACTCATAACCTCAGTTCACTAACTCCGTTCGTAGATGAAGAAGGGGTAATACGTGTTGGCGGACGGCTAAGCTCTTCAAAACTACAATTTGATGCCATTCATCAAATGATTTTACCCAGCAACGATCCACTAGTAAAGTTGCTGGTAGAAAAAATACATAAGGACAATTATCATTGTGGCGCCCAAGCATTGCTGGCACAAGTGAGGCAGCGTTTTTGGCCCCTCAAAGGAAAAAGCTTGATGAGAGCTGTAATACAACAATGCTTAAGATGCAGAAGAGCAAGGCCAATTGTGTACAATCAAATCATGGGAAATTTGCCTGGACACCGTGTGCAACCAGCTCGACCATTTCTCAGCACTGGAGTTGATTATTGTGGCCCAATATGGGTTCATTACAAAACAAGAGGCAAGCGTCCACAAAAGGCGTATATCGCTGTCTTTTGCTGTTTTGCAACCAAGGCCGTACACTTAGAACTTGTGACTGATCTGACCACAGATGCATTCATTGGAGCATTAAAACGCTTCATAGCAAGACGAGGACGCTGTAAAACGTTATACTGCGACAATGCGACCAATTTCGTTGGAGCGAAAAACAAGTTGCAGGAACTTACTGACGTCATCTACGCTGATCGAGCGAGGGAATCAATTGCAGGAATGTGCAGTACGAAAGGCATAGAATTTCACTTCATTCCACCAAGGTCACCACACTTCGGCGGGTTATGGGAGGCAGCAGTAAAATCTGCCAAATATTTGCTGGTCAAAAATGTTTCAACAGCATCACTTACATATGAAGAGCTTGAAACTGTCGTTATTGAAGTTGAAGCAGTGTTGAACTCGCGACCCCTTATTCCTAGCTCATCAGATGCAAACGATTTGAACGCAATAACTCCAGGTCATTTTTTAATAGGTGAAGAAATCACTTCAAGCGTTGATGTGCATGCACGTGACTCTAAAGAAAAATTACTTAAACGCTGGCAACTGGTATCAGAGCTAAAACACAGTTTTTGGCAGCGCTGGACTAAGGAGTATCTAAGCGAATTGCAACAGCGCCACAAGTGGAAGGGTCCCATCACCAACATACAGACCAATACGATGGTAATCCTTAAAGAAGACAATGTCCCAGTTCTGCAATGGCCTTTGGGACGCATCATCAAAGTTTACAAAGGTGAAGATGGTTTAGTGAGAGTTTGTGACATTCAAACAAAAAAGGGAGTATTTAAAAGACCGGTGCATAGATTAGCTCCATTATTTCCTGAAGACGATAAATTAGAAGATCCAACCTTTGGAAAAATGACTGAAAGAAAAATCGAATCAGAACAGACTCAAGAAACTCCAAGGTCACCTCCCGTGTCGCTTATCGTAAAAATTCCATTAAATCGCATCAGAAAACCTGAATCATTAGTCAATGGGTTAACTCCGACAAAACGATCATGTCTGAATTCCGGGTTGCTGCTCACCATTATTACTCTACTCATTTTGCCACTTGCACTATGTAGTCCCGTCAATATAACAACCTTCAACAACAAACCTGGCATTTATTTTGAGCAGCTTAAACCAGTCAAAATCATGTCTGCTGATTGGAAAATGATTGTATATTTTGACCTTTCCCCATACCAACAACAAATGAGTATTTTAGCTGATGGAACAAAAAGGTTGAACAATTTATGCGACAAGGCATTGGATAACACTGCTTGCAAGGTATTACTCAACTATTTTGACCGTATAACGGAAAAACTGCAAATGGAACTTAATCTTCTCTCTGTTAGAAAAAGAATAACAAGAGGAGCTATAGACATTGTCGGAAATTTTGCAAATTCATTGTTTGGTGTCCTCGACTCAAACTACGCGGCACAAATGTCAAGCACAATAAATGGTCTTAAAAGGAACGACAATCACCTGGAACAACTCATTAAAAATCAAACGTCACTTGTTGATTCAACTATCAATATCTTTAAGAAGAATCAATTAAACATGCATGACAAATTTGAAGAAATTGAAAAGCGCATCAATAACTTGTTGTATACAGATGAGTCAATAAACGACATACACGTAACACAAAATATGCTTATGTTGTCAATGCAAATGCTCATGATGGTATCCAACCTGCAAAGAGTTCACTCATCAATTATGGACGTACTAATCGACAGTCATCACGATAAAATAAATCCTCTTCTGCGGACTCCACAACAGCTTAGTGAGCAAATATGATTAGGGCACATCTTCCATCACACCTACAGTTACCTATCCACCACAATAACTTACTCGAAGTATATAAGCTCATGAAGATCAACGGAATCCTGGCAAAGGGCCATGTCATTTTTTGCATCGACTTACCTCTCACGGATCCAAGAGAATTTCAACTGTTATATCTTGTTCCAATTGTGGCAGCTATAAATAACACACTTTTATAAGTGAAACTTTCAACAGAATTTCTAGCCATCAGTCCGCATCATGATGAATTTCGACCAATGACACAGCATCAAGTGGACGCATGCATATCGATAAGTGACGAAGAGTTATTATGTCCAAACATACAAGCAACATTTCATGAATCGTCAAACGTCAATAATTGTGAAATTGACTTATTTAACAATCAAGCTGAACCAAGATGCGATATGTATCAGCTCAAGGACACAACTGTATGGTATCAACTAAATCATCCGAATCAATGGATTTACGCAACCATAAATAACATCAAAATGAATGCAGTATGCAACAAGAAAGCATTTCAATTAACTTTAGTGGGCAGTGGTTTGATTAAATTAGAACCTGAATGCATCATCAAAAATGAACACATTACGATTCAAGGTCATCAAAAAATGGTTACTTCAATGCAGGCATCGATCACCAGATTGAACCTATCTGTAGGATGGACAAAACAATATGCGAGCAATAACATCAGCGTCAAACCATTGTCACCCACAATCCATGAGCTTGAACTTATTCAACGAAAATTAGGCCACATCCAGAGTTCCAGTTTTCCAACTGATGCTATTAGTCCAGGGACACATAGTCTAATAACCAGCTACGTTGCATTAGCAATGTTTCTATGTGTCGCTAGTGCACTATTATATATATGGCGAAGGCAAAAAATCACCTATCAAACACCTCCAATACCGATGCCACGACATCAGCAGATGACCGAGGATACAGCATGTTGACTTGCAGCTTCCAATAATTAGAATTGATGTTGTCAATTCAAGGCGGGCAGCATGTTCACACATTATTATTATTGTAAAATATTATTATTATTACTATTGTTATTATTGTACAATATTTGTAAAATTTGAACATATATGCTGATGTTAGCAATATCCAAATTTTGACTTTCCTTTGCATTATTTAATTTGGTAAAATGCAGTGGCACTGAACTTGAATATTTGCATTATATTTTTTGTTAAGTGCAGTGGCACTGAACTTTGAATATGTAACATACATATATCAAGGCCAGTGCATTGGCATTAATTCTTGGTTGCTAGACACAACAAAGAATTTGGTTGCATAATATATGCTGAGCTTGCACTTTAGGCAAGAAGACGGTAAAGGAAAAGAATAAAATTTAGAAATTGTTATTGTAATAATTTGTAATAATTTAGTATTTAAGGAAAAATTTAATTTAATAAAATTCAGATTGAAACCAATATTCGATCTCTCATTTTCATTTCCAGAGTTTCAGTTCAAGTGCTGAAAACTCAACTTTCAATTAAAGAGTTACAGTTTAAGTGCTGTCAATTCATTTCCTTAGGTGTTAATTCATTAACAAATACTATATATATAATAAAAATATTGTATATATAAGTATTAAAAAAGTAAAGTGTAGCACCAGTAGTGCTGTTGGCGTAGCACACAATCACCAGTGGAGGAAACAATACTGGTGGACGAAACTAGTGCTACTTGGAGTGGAGCTGGGCGTCGCGGGTAACCCGAGGTAATATCTTGGTTACACTCTTAATATCTGTATATCTAATTTTTCTCTTTTCGTGCAGGCCTACATTACATACCTCGACTCGAAACTTCGATATAAATTTACAACTTTTCTCAGTAGAGCAAAAGCTAGAATTGGAACGCATGGTTAATATCAGCGTAAAAAAGGCCTTAAGGCCGAAGCAAGACCTGATCGAAGGGAAGCTGGTGATGCAATTGGATTACTGTGAAAATATTGCCGAGTCGGAAAAAAATTTCTGATATCGTAAAAACACTTCGGGCAAAATCGGAGAATTTGGATCATGGCTAAAATCTGTCGATAGAACACTTACCCTATACTCACAATTGAAGGGCACTCCGAGATATTATGCACTTCATTCGCCATAAAATTGTGAGTGAAGCAGATACGATCCTGGAATCGTACAGAACACTCCTTGATTGGGGAAAGATGAAAAGTTGCCTAATGCTTCATTATTCGGATAAACGCGACGTTGCGACCCTGGAGCATCACATGTCTACACTAGCACAACGGAATCTGACGGTAACAGACTTTTATCGGCAGATATATCGGTATTTATCCTTGATTCTTGACAAGATAGATTGCTCAGATATTAGCGAGGAAACCCTAAGTGTTATGACAAACGTTTATAAAAATAAGGTGTTGGATGCCTTGGATGCGAGGTCATAATGGCGACCTGGCACGATTGCTTAGTGTCAGAGAGCCTATAAGTCTTCCCCAAGCTCTCCAAATATGCCTAAAGTTGCAGAAATTATAGGAATAACATGCAAACGATCGTTACAGACAGATTTACTCAGATACAATACGTGTCCCTAACCGAGATACTGATAGACCAACCCTCTCAAGAAACTCTTCTAATATTCCTTCCAATTTCACGCCCAACAAAACTTTTTTACAAAATTACCAGCACCCTATGGGAGTCAAAAATCCTATACAACCATCCTCAATTAACTATCAAAATAAGTCAAAACAAGCTACAACCTTTATTCCTCCGAGAAATCATAGCCAATATAGAACTATTAATAACTCCAGCACTAATAGAGCAAGTCGCAATAATTTTAGCGGTAACCAACAACAAGTCTTTAATACACAGACAGGGATGGACACCAACCAGCCTGAAAACGTACAATATGCTGAGAATGGTTTGGCCTCTGATTGTTCGAATATGGATGAACCGTCTTTAGATCACTCAGAACAGACAGATAATATTAATTTTTTAGATTAAATACTTCCTCCCTTGTTGTGGATGCCCCCTCAAAAGGGTGTCGTCGAAGTCGTGTCTGCCGGCACTAAATATAACAACATTGGTGAGAAAACGATTTCGGGGGAGAGTGCTTTGCAGAAATTATTTGCAGGAAAGAAACAGGTCAATGCTCATGATTTTTGGAAGTTTTTGAGTGGGAGACAACTGAAGTGGTCGAACGAAACTATTTAAGACCGCGTTAAAGATTTCTTATAAATAATTTTTATGCACAAGTTCAATTGTAAATCTATACCCTTTTTGGCAGTACAGAATAATAAAAAGGGTGAAAAATAAAACACAGCTATAATAAAATAAAAGTGCGAATCTCATCAGCAATAACCAAAGTGTTAGCCAGAAGCGACGTCGTTGATCGTGGCAGCGGAAGTAGCGACGGTACAAAGGAGAAGCGAATGACACGAGGAGAAAGCACATGTGCTACATTTTTGATTGGTATATAATTTTTGACTTTAAACATAGAATAACATGTTTCAATTTAAACTTAAAACTTAGTTAATAGAAACAATCAGTGATAAATGCTGTTTTGATACAAAACTCTAATAGTTATATTATTTAGATGAATTTTGGAAAACTTAACTTAAATGCAGCAAATAGTTGAACAGTGGTTAAGTTACTACCAATATCAAATAAGTGTTCAAGTGTGTTTAATTAATTAAGCAGCGATTATAATTCTAAAAACAATAAGGAAAGAATAGATTTTTAAATAAAAACGAAATAAAAAATAAAGACAACAGACAATAATAACGAGAACAAGAGGAACCTTGGAAAACATAACACCCTTCCATATTATGAATTTGAAATAAAAAACGGTAAAAAACTGAAGCTTCTTATAGACACAGGTTCCAATAAAAATTATGTTATCGGCAGTCTCATATGCAAACCTCAAAAAAATGAATCATCTTTCTTTGTTAATGTTGGCAACCCTGGCCAGTGATGACAGATGACGTAAAAAGAAGAATCCACATGTTAGTTTTGTTAATTGTGAAATAATAATAACTAGGAGTTTTTGATTAATAAAGATCGAAATTATACAGATATAATAGTGGCGACGAGGATACGAATTTTTTTTTGCATTACATTGAAAAGTATATGTAAAAAAAAAATGAATCCACAAGAATTCCAGGTATTTTTCCACGAAATGCAAAACCAACGTGCGAAAGACACAGAAGCAATGCATGAACTTTTAGAGGTGTGTTTGCAAATGAAGATGCATACTGAAGCATTTCCGAAAACAGAAAAACCGGAGCAAGCAATGGAGATTTTAGCTTCGAGTCTCACGGAATTTGTTTATGATCCAGAAAATAACCTAACATTTGAAACGTGGTACAAGAGGTATACAGATTTATTATTGGTTGATGCTAGCAAACTTGATGACGCAGCGAAGGTCAGGCTTTTATTAAGGAAACTCAGTACAACTGTACATAATAAATATATGAACTTAATTTTGCCTAACCATCCACGTGAATATAATTTCACTACAACAGTGGAGAAATTAAAACAACTGTTTGGACTCCAAAAGTCACAAATCAGCTTACGCTATAGCTGTTTACAGTTAACCATACCACCAGATACCGACTATACTACGTACGCAGCCGAGGTTAATAAACACTGTGAAAATTTTAAATTGAATAGCCTGTCACAGGACCAGTTCAAATGTTTAATGTTTAATCGGAAGCAGACTTCGAAATAAGAACCTGAATATTGACCAAACTGAACACAGAAGCTGATGCCACCAACTTGGAAAAACTAACAAACGAGTGTCAGCGTATCATTAATTTGAAATCCGACACAGCGCTGGTAGAAAATAAACCACGTGAAAATCAGGTGAATCGATAACAAGCAAATAAGCTTAATAACAATCAAAAACCGAAAACACCATGCTGGTTTTGTGGAGCAATGCATTATGTGCGTGACTGCCAATACAAAAATTATAAATGCGAAGACTGTCACAACATAGGCCATAAAAAAGGTTATTGCAAAGCGAAAAATTCATCAAAATTAAAATACAATAACAACAACAAAAATAATAGCAATGGTAAAGCAAAAACATTTTCACAGCCACGATCCAACAGTATATACACAACGAACAGCATCACAGCTTCACAGCGTAAATATGTCCACGTTAAAATCAACAATGTGCGAATCAAATTGCAATTTGATACTGCATCGGACTTAACTATCATTTCAAAATTTAATTTCAACAAATTAAATATTTTAAATACAATGGAAGTACAACCAGAATCTGCTAAAAGTGCAACTGGAAACTTACCATTGTACGCAAAATTTACATGTGATGTGCAGTTAAAAGACACAATTAGAACACTTACGTGCTTCGTTACAACGATCGATTTGAACGTATTCGGATTGGACTAGATAACTGCTTTTCAACTTAGCGATATGACGCTTAATGCTATTTGCAGCCAAATTTCAACAACAAAACAGGCAAGTAATGTTTCCATAAACTCTTCAAATGGCAAATTTCTTCCGAAAAAATTATTTCCAGAACTTTTCGAGAATGCTATGGGTCTTTGTAATAAAACTAAGGCACATTTAAGTATCAAACCAAACTGTCAACCTGTTTTCTCACCTAAACGCCCGGTAGCATACGCAGTTCAACATTTGGTTGAAGAAGAAATTAAGCGACTTCAAGATCTTGACATTATCGCACCTATCAATTATTCTGACTGGGCCGCACGAATCGTAGTCATCAAAAAGCCAAATGGTAGCATTCGTATTTGCGCTGATTTCTCAACTGAACTTAACGACGCGATTGAATCTTACAAGTATCCACTACCGCTTCCAGAGGATATTTTTGCAAAAATTAGCAATGCAACAGTATTTAGTCATATAGACCTTTCGGACGCTTTTCTCCAAATCGAAGTTGATAGCAAATCGCAAGAACTTCTCACAATAAACACGCATCTAGGTTTATTCAAATACAAGCGTATGGTATTTGGTGTCAAAACTTTTCAGCAATTTTCGAACAAATTATGGATAAAATGCTTGCGGGCTTACATTACGCAGCTGCTTACATTGACGATAGCTTTGTCTCAGATAGATACCAACAGAAGTATGACAACAACTTACAGGAAGTTCTACAACGTAGTTATAAATACGGGTTTAAACTTAAGATCGCAACATGCAATTTTTCAGTTCCTGAAATTGCTTACTTGGGATATATTGTCAGTAAAGACGGCATTCGCCCAGATCCATGAAACATTGAAGCAATCAAGACAATGCCTGCGCCAACCAATCAATCAGAACTTAGATCACTCTTCTGTGCTATCAATTTTTATGGAAAATTCATAAATCACATGCGCAAATACCGAGGACCATTAGACGAACTACTTCAGAACAACAAGCAGTGGCAATGGACGGAACTTCATCAACGCTGTTTGGTTGATTTCAAACAAATTTTGTCATCAGAGTTATTATTATCGCATTACGATCCACTGAAAAACATGATTGCATGCGACTTCGAATTAAAGTTTATTTTAACTAACAGTTTTGGGTATGCAGACGTTTTGTCACAACTCATACATGTAAGCGGCAACACTAGACAGTAATGAGAAGCGCGGCAACCCAGGTAAACGTCAGTGTGTGAAGAAGTGTTAGTGTATCAAGAGCAGCGTCAGAAGCAGTGTGTGTTAAAAGGAGTCAGCGTGGTTGTAGCGAAGTTTACAAGTGGAGTTCTGCGGTCGATTATTATTTAAAATATCCATCAAATTAATTCATTATTATAACTAAAATAAACTAACAATCTTACATTTGGGGGTTCAACCGTGGCCGAAAGAGGTAAAAAATAGAAAAAGACAAAACAAAACTTTTTCGTTACATGTGTGACGCCGACGCAGACAACGGTAGACAAATTTTAACAAGAGCGTCAAAAAAGAAGCTGCAGAAAACAACACTCAACACGCAAAAGTAAACAGAGGAACGAAAAGAACTTGGAACGGGAAAAATTAAAAAAGGCGTAAGTGACAGCATTTCGAAAAGCAGTAGAAAAAGAAGCAAATCAAGCGACATAGGTAAGTAGCAAAATAAAAATGAAATTGAAACGATCGACGAGAAAGATGAAGGAAAAATGTGTTTAGACGTGCGTGGCAGAGATTTTGGCGAGCTGGTCGAATTTCTAGCGTAGTGGTTAGAACAAAACGTAAGCAGATGTAGCAGTGTCCCAATTGAAAATTTTGCAAAAGTTATACTTGATTTAGATGGTGTGTCAATCCCAATTCAACAATGGATAAGTAACTTCGAAGCAAACGCAGATGTATATGAATTAAACAACAAACAGAAGTACGTGAATGCACGTAACAAAATGACTGGAACGGCGAAACTGTTCTTAGAAACCATAACAGTAACCAATTATAGTGGTCTACGCGAAGCGTTGTTGGAAGAATTTGAGGTAAAATTAAGCAGCGCGGAGGTACACAAAAGATTAAAAGAGCGTAAGAAACATCCAAATGAAGGTTTTCACGAATATATTTTGCAAATGCGTAAAATCGCAGCACTTGGAGCATTAGACGAGAAGTCTGTTATAGGATACATTGCAAATGGGCTAGTATTAAGAGACGACTTGAAATTCCCGTTGTATTCTGCCTCGTCATTTAAAGAATTGAAAAAACAATTCGAGCAGATCGAGGCAATGATAGAGAGGAATGCAAGAGAAGAGCGACTACAAACGATACATGCAGAAGCTTGTGCGCAGGAAGAAGCAAATTGTAATATCAACCCCAAACAGCAACATTGCTTTAATTGTGAATCGAAACAACATAAAAGAGCCGAATGCAAAACTGAAACAAAATGTTTTAAGTGTAACGAAGTTGGGCATATAGAAAGAAATTGTACGAGTGTAAAACAATGTGTGCAGAGAATAATAGAGGAAAGTCGTCTAAATGAGATAAAAATTAACAAAGAAAGCACAATGTGTTTGGTGGATACTGGAGCAGACATGTCGTTAATGACCGAAAGTATAGTAAAGGAAAAATTCCCGACACACAAAGTACAAAATAGTTCAATTAAGCTTTATGGCTTCGGCAATATTAGCACGGCAGTATTGGGCGAAATTACAGCAGAAGTTGAAGTTGATGAATTGGCAACAAAACACAAATTTTTAATTGTAGCAAATGGAAAAATGAATACTAACGTAATTCTGGGATATGATTTTTTTAAGAAAATTAAAGTAGTTATAAGTGCTGCAAGCTATGCGTTCACAGATGCAGATGATAATTCATATGGGGAGAATTACAATATTTATAATGTGGTTGGTGCCGATACTGAGATCCACGTTGCGCCGAAGTATAAAGAAACTGTAATGCAATGTATCAACAATTATAAACCAGGCGACAACCCAGCAGCCAGTCTAATTAAATTAAGAATTGTATTAAATTGCGATAATATAATATTCCATGAAAGACCCAGTCGATTAGCAGTGCCAGAACAGGAGTTCGTACGAAATCAAATAGAGGAGTAGCTAAAGCAAAGTGTTGTACGAAAGTCTTGCAAGCAAAGTAGTACTAGCAAGTAAAAAAGATGGTAGCATCAGATTGTGCTTAGATTTTCTTAAGTTGAATACGTTTATACTGAGAGATAGGTTTCCGTTACCGATAATCGAGGATGTTCTTAAAAAAATACAGGCGGCCAAATATTTTACAGTGATAGATCTCAAAAATGGTTTCTTTCATGTGGAAATCGAAGAACACAGCAAAAAAAGCACAGCGTTTGTGACAAAAGAAGGACTGTACGAGTTTAATACAGCACCGTTTGGTTTCTATAATTCACCGGCGGTATTTAGTCGCTATGTCAGTTATATATTTCAGCAGCAAGTAAACGAAGGTATTATGGAGATATACGTAGATGATATTGTAATTCTTGGAAGCATAGCAGAGTAATGTGTGATAAATATGCGACAAGTATTAGAACGAGTACAACAGTTTGGGCTTGAAATAAACTAGGCAAAATGTCAGTTTTTGAAGATTAGAATAAATTTTCAGGGACATGAAGTCGAGGATGGAAATATACATCCTGGGAAGAAGAAGGTTAAAGCGGTTAAAAACTTTCCATTACCAAAAAATATACGAGGGGTCCAAGCGTTTCTGGGTCTAACGGGGTATTTCAGAAAATTCGTTCAAAATTGCGCCTTGTTAGTGAGGCCGTTAACTGAATTATTGAAGAAAAACGTTGAGTTTAAAATAGAAGAGAAACAAATGCGAGCAGTTAAAAGTCTGAAGTCGGCACTAATGGAAGAACCAGTGTTAAAAATATTTAAGCAGAACGCAAAAACACAACTACACGTCGATGCATCCAAATATGGTTTTGGAGTGGCATCCTGTTTATTATTAGAGCAAAAAAACAGAAAAAAAGAAGAAATTGCATAGTTATGGTATTTTGTAGAAGTAAAAGCAGCGACAATGAAGTTAAGACACTATCTTATGGCATTCAGTTTGATTTAGTAACTGATTGCACGGCTTTTAAGCAGACGAACGCCAAGAAAGATATACCCAGAGAAGTAGTGCAATGGCTAATGTTTCTACAGGATTTTACGTATAAAATTGAACACAGACTAGCATGCAGAATGAAGCACGTTGATAGCATGAGTCGTTTTCCGGCCATGAATATAACAACGGATGGCAGTTGATATATAAACAAAATGATGGACAAGATTTGTTAGCAGTACCTAAAATGATGGAAAGAGAAATTATAAGGCGTGCTCATAACTTCAGACATATGGGTACACAGAAGACCTTGTATTCCTCACCTAGAACGAAAAACGCAGCATGATTATCAGATGGCTGATTTAGTAGCGATTCGAGTTACGCAATGCACAACAAATAAAAAGTTGGCAAACAAGTACATAGGGTCATATCAAATTATTAAAATAAAGCGAAATGGACGACATGACGTTAAGAAAGCAGCAGAATTTTAGGGTCCGCTAACATCAACCAGCGCCGATAACATGAAGCTATGGCAGTATATGGGCACGAACGACAGTGAGGAAGAGGAGGAGGAAGAGTCATCTGACAAAGATGATGATCAGGAGGACCGAGTGTAAGCGGCAACACTAGACAGTAGTGAGAAGCGCGGCAACCCTGGTAAACGTCAGTGTGTGAAGAAGTGTTAGTGCATCAAGAGCAGCGTCAGAAGCAGTGTGTGTTAAAAGGAGTCAGCGTGGTTGTAGCGAAATTTACAAGTGGAGTTCTGCGGTCGATTATTATTTAAAATATCCATAAAATTAATTCATTATTATAACTAAAATGAACTAACAATCTTACATACATAACACAATCAATCCTTCAGAAGATTATGTCATCACTGCAGTAGAGTTTGAATTTGAAAGTAAACAAATTTTACATAACTCACTTAATATGCTGCCGCTTAACAGCAGAATGATTACTTACGAAACAGCTAAGGACAAGGTTTTAGCTAAAATTTTCGAATATGTAACTGAAGGATGGCCATCAAACTGCAACAACAGTGAGTTAAAAACTTACTTTAACCGAAAAAACGACATATGTATAGTTGACGGATGTTTAATGTTCGGACAACGCATTATTATACCTCAAATTTTCCTAAAGCGCATTCTTAAAGAAATTCACCGAGGTCATCAAGCAATAGGTCGTACTGAAGCCATCGCGCGGAACTACGTTTATTGGTCAAATATCGATTACGATATTGAAACAATGCTGAAAAGTTGTTCAAATTGTGCCGCAGCAGCTAAAATGCCTGCAAAAGAACTTTACATCCTTGGTCAAAACCTTCTGATTCTTAGGAACGGTTCCATATTGATTATGCAGGAATAATAGATTCATACTACTTTTTGGTCGTAATCGATGCGTTCTCAAAATGGCCAGAAATTATACAAACAAAATTTTTAACAGCAACTCAAACAATTTCCAGCTTGAAAGAAATTTTCGCTAGAAGACAATAGTTTCAGACAATGGTATTCAATTTGTAAGTCATCAATTTCAACAGTTTTTAGCGGAAAACGGCATTAATCATATACAGCATTGGCGCGCAAAAAAATCACTCCGTAATTTTCAGTGTTTTCTAAGCGAAAAACTTAGAAAGTGATATTAAACTCATCACAAATAATCGAGACAGTGACTCTTAAATAATATTAATAAAAAAATAATAGTGCCTGATAAAATAAAATATTATTATATTTATTTATTTTTGCGAAAAAAGTGAATTTTAATTTTGTTTTCGAATTTGTTTA